ATCTTTCTGGTATTCAAATATATAAAATTAATAATAATTATACTCAGCTGAACTCCTGCAGTTATGTCTAGGTGGTGGCTTGGGTTTTTATTGAGCTACAACTTAGACATGTGACTGTAATGTGCTGCAACTCTGTGCACTGAAAATATGTGAACACGGTTGAATGTGGACCATGTATACATGAATGTACAAATTTCTGTAGATGCTGCTGTTGCCACTTAATGTAGAAAATGTTGTACTGGATTGTAATCCTACTGGCCAGTTCAGTAATACTGTGTGTACTGTATAGCTGATTACAGGAGTAAGAATGGTTAGTGAATATTTGTTAAATATTATTTTTGTAGCTAGAGATAATTTTGGAATAAAATTTTAATGTCCTACCTTACTTTTCTCCCCCTTTTTAAACTATAATTTAATTCCTGGTCTATTTCTTCTGAGAGTTTAGAATTGCATAGTTCTGTAACAGGGGACTGTGACGCAAAAGGAGTTTGCTCATCAGTAGTTAATTTTTGGTTGAATATAAATATGCAAATTTCAGCTAAGATGCACTAAAGATTTAGTATGCAGCTCTTGATTTTCTCAGGTTATTCTATTACTTTTAATATTTTTGTGTTCTTTTTTTTTGCAGTATGGCACTACCATGTTTTCTACTAACTTTTAACTCTGCTAGAACTTCAGATCCTTTTTTCTTTTAACGTGGAAGGTGGTAGATAGCTGAGGCAGGAGAAACAATTAGTTTTTCCTCACCACTCTATTCTTTCCTATGCACAAGTACTGGCACATTATTGTTTTGCTGTCCCAGGCCCTCCCCATACATTTTATAATGTGGTGCTTTTGCAGATTTTGTACTTGGTGTTTTTTATGGTTCTAACTTTGGTGACATTAGCGCCTCCTTTATTCATGCTTTGTTCACAACATAAGGCCTGTGAAGTGCAACCAGCTCATGATGTAACAAGTTCAGTTAACAGCAAGGTAAGTGTCTACATAATGGCAAGCAGATGCTGTACCAATTTATCAGATGTTGCAGGGATATTGCGTGACAAATATTTCCCTCATGTGGAAAGAACTACCTCACATTTTTAAAGTCACATCCTTCCTCCCATCAATAGCAGAGGAATTCTCACCATGGTTTCCTGAATCATTGATGAGATTTACTAAAATGAAGAGAATATGTGCAGTGAGAGTTCCTCACCTCACTTTCGTCTTACAGCCTAGAGCTATAATCATCTTATGTGCCTACAGCAGTGGTGGCGAACTTGTGGCACGTGTGCCTCAGCCTGTAGTTTATTATTGAAGACTCTAAAACATTCACCATCACTGGACTATACCGCAAATTCCCATTTTTTGCTTCTCAAAGATTAAAATGCACCTGGAAGCAAGTATCACTTTGATTCCCAAACCAGGGAAGGAGACAACTAAAAAAGAGAACTATAGGCCCATCTCCTTAAGCAATATAGATGCAAAAATCATTAATAAGATACTAGCAAACAGAATACAGAGGATCATCAAGAAGATCATACATCCTCACCAAGTTGGATTTATTCCAGGGATGCAAGGGTGGTTCAACACATGTAATGTAATACAATATATTAACAGAGCCAAAGACAAAAACCATATGATCCTCTCGATAGATGCAGAAAAAGCATTTGACAAAATTCAATACTCGTTCATGATAAAAAAAACTTGCAGAAAATTGGAATAGATGGTCTTTATCTCAAATTAATAAAGGCTATCTATGAAAAACCAACAGACAACATCACATTAAATGGCCCCAAACTAAAAATCTTCATGTTAAAATCAGGAACAAGACAAGGATGCCCACTATCACCACTCCTCTTTGATATAGTTCTGGAAACATTAGCCACAGCAATTAGACAAGACAAAGAAATTAAAGCAATAAAGATAGGAAAGGAAACAGTTAAACTGTCATTATTTGCAGACCATATGATACTCTACATTAAAGACACAAAAAATTCTACCAAAAGAGTTCTAGACTTAATTTACACTTTCAACAGAGTAGCTGGATATAAGGTCAACACCCAAAAATGAATAGCATTCTTGTGCACAAATGACAGACTCACTGAGAGAAAAATTAGGGAAACAATTCCTTTCACAATAGCATCCAAAAAATGAAGTGTCTAGGAGTCAATCTAACAAAAGAAGCAAAAGATCTCTACACTGAAAACTATAGCACTCTGACAAAAGAGATCAAAGAGGATATAAGAAAATGGAAAGATATCCCCTGCTCCCGGGTAGGAAGAATCAACATAGAGAAAATGGCCATACTACCAAAACTGCTATACAGATTCAATGCAATGCCAATTGAAATTCCAACACTATATTTCACAGAACTAGAAAAAAGAATCCAAAAATTCATTTGGAAACATAAGAGACCTAGAATAGCAAAAGCCATCTTAGGCAACAGACACATGGCACTGGGTATAACAATTCCAAATTGAAACTATACTACAAAGCCACTGTGACAAAAACAGCATGGAACTGACAAAGAAACAAATCTGAGGATCAGTTGAACAGATTGTAATACAGGAAAACAAATCCAGATGTACTCAGCTACGTCATCTTTGACAAAAGTGTTCACCATCCTCAGTGAAGAAAAGATAGCCTCTTTAATAAATGCTGTTGGAAAAACTGGATCTCAACATGCAAAAGATTAAAACTGGACCATTATTTCTCACCATGCACTAAATTACAATCCAAATGGATGAAAGATCTAAATATTAAAACAGAAACACTAAACTTGCTGGAAGATAAGGTAGGCAGAACTCTTGAAGACACTGACATAGGAAAGATTTATGAACAAATCCTCAGTAGCATGGGAACTAGCAGAAAGAATCAACAATTGGGATCTCATCTTATTAAAAAGCTTGTTCCCTGCAAAAGAAACCATCAAAAGAACTAAGGGACAACCTACAATGTGGGAAAATTTTTACTAGCTGCTCCTCGGACAAGGAACTACTATCAAGAATATATAGAGAACTCAAAATAATCAGCACCCACTGAATATAAAGACCCAATTCAAAAATGGGCATCAAAAACAAATGTTGGCGGGGTTGTGGGGAGAAAGGAACCCTTCTCCATTGTTGGTGGGAGTGCAGACTGGTTCAACCACTATAGAAATCACTATGGAGATTCCTCAAAGAGCTAGGACTAGAGGTTCCCTTTTTGACCCAGCCATAGCTCTGCTAGGATCTTTCCAAAAGAATTGAAAGAATCATATCACAGTGATGTATGTGCAGCTATGTTTATAGCAGCACAGTTTGTAATAGCTAAAACTTGGAAACAGCCCATTTGCCCATCAGTTGGAAACTGGATAAAGAAGATGTGGTTTTTCTATAAAATGGAACACTACTCAGCCATAAAGAATGAGAAATTAGAGTCATTCATAGGAAAATGGATACATATTGAGGATATACTCCTAAGAGAAATAAATAAGTCACACATGTGTAAATACCAAATAGTTTCTCTGGTGTGAAAAGCTATAATAGTACATAGGATCCTAATGATATAATGGACAATATAAAACCAAAAGGTGTAAGGAAAGTGGGAAGAGTAGGGATAAGCTAATAAGGGAAAAGAAAAATGAGAAAATGAAGAAATGGAAATGAAGTGTTTCTAAAGGGGGAGGGAGGAGGGGTGATGGAAGGGCAGGGACAAGGGGAAAAATGAGAACCAAGACCTGTCATGTAAAGGTACACGATCCCAATGATGAATGCAACTGTACTGTATACCTAAAATGTACCAATAAACGCACTTAAAAAAATTAGAGAGTTCTTGCTATCCCATGTCATCAGCCAATCCTAACATTCTAAAGGCAGCAAGAGCGGGAATTTGTGCAAGGGTAGCTTCAGGAAAATTGCCAGGGAAGGGTGAGCAAGAAGATATGAAACCAATTATCAAAATGAACAGCGTATTTAAGGCATAGTAATTCTTCTTTTCATTAAATTTACTGGTACCTTTTATGTATACAGTACAGTTACATTCATCATTGGGATCTTGTACCTTTACATGACAGATCTTGGTTCTTATTTTTCCCCATACCCCTGGCCTCTCTTCACCTCCTCAACCCTTCCCTATTTAGAAAGACTTTGTTTTAATTTTTTCCTTTTCTCATTTTTTCCTTTCTTTCCTTTCCCCTCACTTCCCCACTTCCCCTACTCTTTAGCACCTTTCTTCCTATTTCATATCATGAATTATACAATTTCAACGTTATTTACATTTTTAATTTTTCACACCAGAGAAACTATTCAGTACTTGCACGTGTGTCCTATTTATTTCACTTAAGAGTATGGCCTCAATGTGCATCCATTTACCTATAAATATCTCTAGTTTCTTGTTCTTTGTGGCTGAGTAGTACTCCATTTTATAAAACAAGCACAATTTCTTTATCCAGTCTCCAGATGGTTGGCAATTGGTCTGTTTCCAAGTTTTACCTGTTACAAAATGTGATGCTATAAATATAGATGAGCACATATGTCTGTAGTATGATTCTTTTATTCTTTTGGAAAGATACCCAGCAATGGGCTAGCTGGGTTAAATGGGATTTCTAATCTTAGTTTTTTGAGGTATTTCCATATTGATTTCCACAGTGGTAAGGCATAGCAATTCTTAGAGATGAAAAATTAAATGAAATACAGAAGGTAATTCTGAAATATGGTGATCAGCAGAAAGAAGTTCCCATATCAACAATAAGTAAAATGATTGAGAACATCAAGTGGTCCAAAAGATAAAAATGAGTAACAGAATCAAACTTAACCCAAATATAACGATTTATTACCCACTTTATGACAACAAAATTTTTTCCAAGATTCAAAGTGAAAATATAATTGTTACAAGAGTTAGTTACATTTAGAGTATAAGAAAAAGAAATCAGTCCATCGATAGCTGAGGCAAGTATCATGCTGTAATGTAAGATATAACTGCAAAAGAGTTGCATATTTGCTCCAGAGCCACTACACATTTTAGGATAATATAGTTTTATCTTAAAAAATTTTCTTTCTGTCTGAATGTGTTTTATCTCTGAACCCATGTAGAGAATTCCTATCTGGTCTTAACAAAATAATGTAGCATTTAGGGATGAAGATGCAGGCCAGAAGCCCTGCACTGGAGGCCAAGATGGAGAAGACCTCCATGGCCACCATAACCTTGCCCTTGGTGCTGTGGTACACAGCGAGGAAGGGGACCCACACTCTGCAGAACAGCAGCATGCTGAAGGTCAGGAACTTGGCTTCATTGAATGTGTCAGGTAGGTTCCTGGCCAGGAAGGCCAGAGTGAAGCTCACCAGGGCCAGGGAGCCCAGGTATCCCAGGCCAAGATGGAGAAGACCTCCATGGCCACCATAACCTTGCCCTTGGTGCTGTGGTACACAGCGAGGAAGGGGACCCACACTCTGCAGAACAGCAGCATGCTGAAGGTCAGGAACTTGGCTTCATTGAATGTGTCAGGTAGGTTCCTGGCCAGGAAGGCCAGAGTGAAGCTCACCAGGGCCAGGGAGCCCAGGTATCCCAGGACACAGTAGAGAAACAGTGATAGTTTTCGCCAAGATGGTGGAAACAGCCACAGTGAACACGATTCCAAATGTAGTCTGCTGGAGGATACAGGTGGCTGTGTTGGGAAGGCCAATGAAGAGTAAAGAGCAGAGGAAACAGAAGATGAGAGAGATGAGCAGGGTGTAACTGAGAGTCCGGTTGTTGGCCTTGACCATGGGAGTGTCTCTGTGCTTCACGAAGAGCCCAAGAACAACAGCTGTAAGAATAGCTAAGCTCAGAGCTGTGCCAACAAGAGTCTTCCCCAAGGGGTCTTCAAAAGCCAGAAATGTGACAGATTTTTGGAGGCAGCGATTTCTCTGAATGTTGGAATACTGATGGCCTGGACACTTCAAACACTGCTGCATATCTAGTGAGAAATGCAAGTTTTTCTCAGTGCAGATTCAGTAATTCCCTGTTATTCAAAGTCTCCACCATTCAGCACACTGGGCCAGTCAAGTCCTCCTTTTCTCTTATGTTGCTATAAAACTAGTCATTTGTCGTCAATACTGGTTTTGTTTTTTACAGTGCCATAACAATCCTAAAATTTTTGTTGTTGTTGTTTTTATGGCATGTATTTGAGAAAAATTTTCCATTGTAATAAACCCTTAAAGATCTACTTGTCTAAACTATATCTGTGCAGGCAATAACCTAGGTGTTCATTCACTGAGTGAGCATTCTTGATAAATCCCAAGAGTTGTATTTTCTAATTTCCAGGGAAATAACTATATGCCATAACATTTTCCAAGGTACACTAAGTTCTCTGAGAAATTTGCAGGTTTTACCAAATAGCAGAGTGCAATTTTGATTTTGATTGGATGATATCCTTAGAGCCATATAAAATATCAACATCTTATAATCATTAAACCTTTTGATTTAGAATTTTTACCTCACAACTCATTTCAGTTTTGTTGTTCTTAATTTTTCCTATTATATATGTGTTGGTGAAAACTTTTGGAAAGGGATAATTTATTTTTCAACATTTCATAGCTTATGATATAGTAAATGTCTTTTAAATTCAAATTCTGAATTGTCAGTGATGTGAAGAAAGAGTTGTTTGAACATTAACCTGATAGTTAATCCATAATCAGTTCCATTCATGATTAATTTACCTAGATTTTCTCCTTGCACACCGGAATCATTGTAAAAATAATATTGCTTTTTTTTCCCTTCCCAATACATGGTAATCTTCTTTCTTTTCCTCACTTTATTTTATTGGCTGGTATCTCCACCACACTGTATTTTAAATGTGGTGAAATAAAGCACTCCTGACTCATGTATATTTTTAACATTGAATGATTCTGTAAACATTTCTGTGGAATCAACAAATTTTCCTCTTACTCTTAATTTTTTAAAATCTGTCGTCATTCATGAATTAAAGGTATAATTCATGAATTATAGATAAGCATTGAATTGTATATATTACTTCATTTGTTGATACTTTTAAGCTTTTTCTAGAATCTACTGCCTTGATTGATATCAAGGAAGCATAAATTTGCCCCAAAGTATCCTCCTTAAACTACAGCACATTTTGGGATGGTAATTGGGATTTTCATTTAAGAAGGAATGTTGCAAACTGGGTGTGAGCCTGAGCACCTGTAATCTCAGCACTGAAGAGGAGGATCTTTGCAAATTCCAGGGCAGCCTGGGCTATATAATGAATTCAAGGCCATGCTGAACTACATGGAAAGATCCAAGAAACAGAGTTTTAAAAAAACTTGCTTGTTTTTCTATTGTCGCCCATGAGTGACACAGTTCAAGCTTACTCATAAGATGCATTGATTTTCCCATCTTCTATCTATCTGAAGGAGGTTGAGTAATTTAGTAATGGTATTCTCTAGAATAATTATAAAGTCCACCAGCTAAACTGTCAATTAACATAAAAATTGTGAGAAAAAAACACAGTTGAAATTTTTAAGCAGATGTTCTATTTTGAAAAATTTCATTCAGTATTTGTGTTAATTTGTGAATTTCATTAACATTCCTAAGTACATAACTTATTTATATTCTCTTACAAAATGCTTTGTATTTTTTGCAGATGTGTCTATTTTCAGTGTTTTTATATTTGGTTTCCTAATTGATCTCTTAGTAGTTAATTTTATCGAGGGCTATTAATTTTATTCTGTTACTAAAATCAACTTTTTATGGCTTTTATGTGATTATAATTTCCGTGTAACTTCCATTATTATTATTATTTCCTTTTCTCTTTGATTTATTGTTTTTGTCTAATATTTGTGATGCAAAACTTTTGCTTATCTTTGCATAAACTCATATTATAAAATGTATACAAATATATGTCTCCTAAGATAATTTAGCTTCAACACACAGGGTTTAATGAGTGACATTTTCAATTTCAACTGTTTATAATTTTGGTTAATTTCTTTTCTAACAATCATAATTTTGAGATTTGATTTATTGTTTTTGTCTAATATTTGTGATGCAAAACTTTTGCTTATCTTTGCATAAACTCATATTATAAAATGTATACAAATATATGTCTCCTAAGATAATTTAGCTTCAACACACAGGGTTTAATGAGTGACATTTTCAATTTCAACTGTTTATAATTTTGGTTAATTTCTTTTCTAACAATCATAATTTTGAGAAATTTTTATACATGGACTGAAAGTGAAAGGATGGAAAACAATTCTCCATGTGTCAGGAGCCCAGAAAAAGCAGGGGTGGCACTCTTATTTGCATACAAAGTAAATTTCAAACCAAAACTCATTAAGAGAGACAAAGACGGTCACCACATCCTTGTAAAGGTTACAATTCAAGAGGAAGAGATGACAATCATAAACATATATGCTCCAAATATAAATGCCCCCAACTACATAAAACAAATATTAAGTAACATGAAAAACCAAATCAGCACTAATACAATTTCAGTGGGGGATTTAAATACCCCACTATCACAAATTGACAGATCATCTAGGCAGAAAATCAACAAGTCTACCCCACAAAATCAGAATATACAATATTTCGGCTGCACATGGATCATTCTCCAAGTCAGACCACATATTGGCTCACTGAACAGGTCTGAATAAATGCAAAAGAATTGAAATCATCCCCTGTATATTATCAGATCATAGTGCAATCAAGCTGGAGATCAATAGCACAACAAACCATAGGCACTTCACAAGCACATGGAAACTGAATAACACTCTCCTAAACAATCAATGGACTACAGAGGAAGTTAAAGAAGAAGTTAGCCAGTTTTTACAAATAAATGAAAATGCCAATACAACATACAGGAATCTATGGGACACAATGAAAGCAGTTCTATGGGGAAAATTCATAACATTGAATGCCCACACTAGGAAAACAGAGTGGGCTCAAATAAACCTAACCATGAATCTTAGACTCCTAGAAAAACAAGAGCAAGAAAAACCCAAAGCTCGAACAAGAGAGGAAATTATTAAAATCTGAGCACAAATCAATGCAATGGAAACTGAGAAAATGATACAAAAATAAATGAAACAAAGAGCTATTTTTTTGAAAGAATAAAAATTGGCAAACCCTTAGCTAATCTTATCAAAAAATAAAAAGGAAAGGAAAGAAAAGGCTCAGATCCATGCAATCAGGAATGAAAAAAACAAAGTCACAACAGATCCAAAAGAAATACAGAGGACCATTAATACCTACTTTGAGAACCAGAACTCCAATAAAATGGAAAACACAGAAGAAATGGAGAGATTTTTAGATACTTATGAATTACCCATGTTGAACAAAGAAGATAAAAGCATTTTCAACACCCCAATTGCAGTCAGTGAAAATGAAAATGTAATTTAAAATTTACCAACAAAGAAAAGCCCAGGCCCTGTTGGATTCACTGCTGAATTTTACAAGACATTTAGTGAAGGACTACTGCCATTACTCTTCAAACTTTTCAATGAAATCGAAAGGGAAGCTATACTTCCAAATTCACTCATGGAAGCATCACTATGATTCCCTAACCAGGAAAAGACCCAACTGAAAAAGACAATTACAGGCCAAACTTCTTAATGAATACAGATGCAAAAATCCTTAATAAGATGGTAGCAAACAGAATATGGAGGATTATCAAGAAGATCATACATCCTGACCAAGTCGGATTTATTCCAGGGATGCAAGGGTGGTTCAACATAGGTGAGTCGATAAATGCAATACATTATATTAACAAAATCAAGGACAAAAACCATATTATCCTCTCAATAGATGCAGAAAAAGCATTTGATAAAATTCAACACCCATTCATGATAAAAAAAAAACCTGCCAAAAATTGGAACAGACGGTCTATACTTCAATTTAATAAAGGCTATCTGTGGAAAACCAAGAGCCAACAGCATATTAAATGGCCCAAAACTGAAAACCTTCCTGTCAAAGTCAGGAACAAGACAAGGATGCCCACTATCACCACTCCTCTTCAATATAGTTGTGGAAACATTAGACACAGCAATTAGACAAGAGAAAGAAATTAAAGCAATAAAGATAGGAAAGGAAGAAGTTAAACTATCATTATTTGCTGATGATATGATACTCTACATTGAAGATCCAAAAAACTCCACCAAAAGACTTCCAGACTTAATTGACAGATTCAGTAGAGTAGCTGGATACAAGGTGAACACCCAAAAATCGATAGCCTTCTTATACACAAATAACAGACTCACTGAGAGAGAAATAAAGGAAAAAATTCCTTTTACAATAGCATCCAAAATAATGAAGTATGTAGGAATCAATCTAACAAAAGAAGCAAAAGACCTCTACACTGAAAACTATAGCACTCTGAAAAAAGAAATTGAAGAGGATATAAAAAAATGGAGAGATATCCCCTGCTGCTGAGTAGGAAGAATCAACAAAGTGAAAATGGCCGTACTACCAAAACTGCTATACAGATTCAATGCAATGCCAATTGAAATTCCAACACTGTATTTCCCAGAACTAGAAAAAAGAATCCAAAATTTCATTTGGAACCATAAGAGACCTAGAAGAGCAAAAGCCATCCTAGGCAATAGACACATGGCAGCGGGTAAAACCAATCCCAATTTGTAACTATACTACAAAGCCACTGTGATAAAAATAGCATGGTACTGGCCAAGAAACAGGCCTGAGGATCAGTGGAACAGACTGGAAGACACAAAAACAAATCCAGATGTACTCATCTACATCCTCTTTGATAAAGGAGCTGACCATCCTCAGTGGAGGAAAGATAGCCTCTTTAATAAATGGTGTTGGAAAAACCGGATTTCAACCTGCCACAGATTAAAACTGGACCCTTATCTTTCACCATGCACTAAATCAAAATCCAAGTGGATTAAATATCTAAATATTGAAAGAGAAACATTATACTTGCAGGAAGGTAAGTTAGGCAGAACTCTGGAAGACACTG